GCTCGCATGGAGACTGAGTTCAATTCCAAGCCCAGGAAAATGACATTCTGACTGGGAGTCAGATTGTTTTCGCTCGCATTCACCTTGAACCCGAGGGATGTGATGTGCGCGAGCACCCGGCCGGTGTCCAGCGACACCTTCTCCTTTGATTTGGCTATGATGAGCCAGTAAGTCAGAATTCTCAGCCCTGATAGTCTCAGGGGCGCCACGCCCACCTCCACACACAGACAGAAAGTTCGGGGACTCAAATTGCACCCGAACGGAAGAACTGTGAATTCGTAACAAACGCCTTGGTAGGCGAAACGAAGATATTTCCTGTGTGGAGGGTAGATGCTTATGTGAAAGAAAGCATCTTTCAGATCGACTGATGTGAACCAGTCGTTCTGCTTTATGGCACAGGCGAGAGAGGCTTGTGTCACATTCTGAAATTGAATTTCCTCAAATGTTTGTTCAACACTCAAAGGTCCAATATAGGGCGGGGGGGCGCCACGCCTTTTGGAACCTGAAAATACCAGGAATAAAAACCATGGTTTATCAGATTGGGTGGCACCATCTGAATCGCTCCCTTGTTAGGAGGGAGGAAATTTCCTCTTTCAGAATGTGTGAGGCGTTTTCTTCTGTGTGAGAAGAGAGAACGCCGTTGAAATGCGGAGGTTTTATTGCAAACTGCAGCTTGTAACCCTGGGTTACAATACGCAAAAACCCACTCGGGCGCTGAAACGGCTTGCCAAGCCGCTTTGTGACTCGCGAGCGCCCCCGCTCGGGCCGGAGCGGAGCTGTATGGGCCCAGCTGGTTCATTTGTGATGCAAAGGCGCCATCTAGTGGGAACACTAGAGGCAACATGCAGGGGTTTGGAGGGATTTCCTCTCTCTGCAGTGAGAAGTTTTCTTTGCGGAGAGAGGTCTTCTCTCCAAAACGAATTCATTTGATTCGTAGCTTTGTGTGTTTTGTGTTGGGCAAACACTGGGGCCAAAGCCTTTATTGACAGAGTGAGGGAAACATAGTGTGGTGTCCACTGTACTGAACTTTCCCTCACAAGGTGTCCCCAAAAGTGGGAAAAACACATATCTCCTGAACACATGAACTGGGCAGTCTCAAGTGCAGGCAGAAAAATAATATCCGCGGAGAGAGATACTCTCTCTGTAACGGATTTATTTAATGCGTTTTTTTTTTTTTTTTTTTAAGTGTTATTTAGTTATGTGTGTGTTTTGTGTTGGGGAACACAGGGGCCTTACACACACAACGTCCACTAAAAAAACATCGGCTGGACAGCCGCAACTGAGCTGTGTGAGCCCAGTTGGTTGATTTATGAGGCAATGGCGACCTCTTGTGGACGGACTCAGGGCGACATGCATGGGATCAGAGAGATTTGCTCTCTATGTTGCCGCTGGCAGATATATAAATCTGCACGAATTCATTTGATTCGTTTATTAAATGTGTTGTTCAGTAATGTGTGTGTTTGTGTTGGGAAACACTGGGGCCGAAGCCTTTAATAACTGGGTGAGAGGAACCAAGTGCGTGCGGTGTGGTAACACTGCTATGTACTTTTCCTCACGACAGCCCCCTCCCCCGTAACTTGTTGTTGTGGGGGGGAGAGGGAAACACACACACACAACGTCCACTAACATACGGGCTGGGCAGCCACGCGAGGGGATTAACCGACCGTAGGTGGGAGACCCTGTTAGTTAACGTTACTCCCAATGGTCGAACAACAGGCAGGCCGCTTGCGTTCGGGACCGCCTTCCTGGGAAGGCATACATTGAAAACCTCAACACGTAATCGTAACAAATCAAGGCCCGTGAGACCGTGTTAACAGTCTAGCGGGACGCTCCGGCCGTTCAGACTGGGCGGTGGTCCCAGCGTTTACCCGTCGTACATATTCCTATCCTGGTCGGTGGCGCTCTGTGGAGCTGGCCACACAACGTTGAAACGAACGGCCGCTCGCTCACAAACTTCCAGGAGGATGGACGGAGGCAAAGCCGCGTGAACGCTAGCCTAGGGAACGCTAAAAGGACCGCGTCATCCCCGTCGCCGGAACCGACCGGTTCGTCAACGAGAGTGAGGTTTTCCCGCGAAGATGTCCTCTTCAGGGAATGCGGATTGGGCTGATGTCAGCTCAAATATTTTAGAGAGGTGGCGCTCCGGGAGTCCCCCGGTAGCGCGTCATCATCACCGTGTCTCTCCTCCGAGTCAGAAAGGCCGAGCACGGCGCGCTGTGTCGTGCAACTAAAAGCCGGCTTAGTAAAAGCTACATGGGCAGCAATTACAATGACCGCAATTCCCCGGGTTCTCCAAAGCTTGAGCGTGTTAAGCCCAAGCAGACCGCGCAGAACGAGAGGGTCCTTATAGCGGCGATGAGAGCACCACACGCGGCCGGGCAGGCTCGTCGTGCTAGGCTGTTCCCCGGGGGAAGCGGCTGTTTAGACGGTCACATAGCCATGGGCGGGCCAGCGGTGAAGAACTCGGAAAAATCCGTGGCGGGCAGCCATGTAAAGGAGGAGCAGGTGAAGGACAGCGAGAGCTCGGGCGGCTCCGGATGCAAAAAACACAGCGGATAGGCTGAAGAAACGACTGTCACTCACGTCTGGCGGAGGCTGATCTGGCGAATGCGATATGTCCTCCTGAAGACTCGAAAGTGAGCAGCGTAACGTTAATCCAACCGAACTGTGTCAATGCAGAGATCGCGAGAAGCGAATGTCAACTGAGGAATAGCAGCGCGCCCAGCTGTGATATGCCCGTAGGTAAGGGGGTGTGGCCTCACCTGGCATTGGCTGCGCGCTTCTGTCTGTTAGCCAGACTTGGTGCAATTGGATGCTTCTGCAGAGGTCAGGTACGGATGCCCTTCCCATAGGTGGATCTCGAAACGAGATGATGAAAGAGAACATGATTTCACCAAGTACAACATGCTCCTGTATCAACATCTTTGTTGATCCTGGAACAACATTCCAATCAACCAATCAGTTTTGAGGGACCAGTTTAGGCTTAGAACTAGGGTTAGGTAATTCTACATCAGTTATTCACCTATAATTTCCCTCTGATTTTAGAGATAAGTAATGGGTAGGGTTAGGTTTAGGGGCAAGGGTTAGGCTTAAATAGGAATGTTGTTCCAGGATGAACAAAATATGTTGATCCAGGAACATATCTTACTTGGTAAAATCACATTGAACATGTGCAGTGATAGTGAACATGTTTCAAGTCATAGCTCTCATAAACGGTGTATTTCAGCATAGCTGGAATGCTGTATTGTCCAGTCAGAAGCCAGCACAGAAACTATGCATTTTATTATAAGATTTTAGCTACACTTTAGCTAGACTGTTTTAATTTTTTTTTCATGCTTAATTGCTTATTGTAAACACTGATAGACTGTTCATTATTTTCAGTATGGAAACTGGCAAACTGTAGCGTGGATTAGAGATCTGAAACAAGAAGTTGCTTCAGAAGCGACCTCATTTAGTAGACTCAATAAGAAACAGCAGTATAAATCTCATCATATTGCTTTTTTTTTTCTTTGCTGTGCAGGGATTTTAAACTAATATGGTAGTCTGCCAAAAATCTACTTACTGGGTACTCCACATCTCTGCTCTTGAATCACAAGTGTTGCGCAATTCTGCCTTTTCTTTGGTCTGCAGTTCAGATGCTATATTTCAGACAGATGTATACCCATTTTCATAAATACCGCGTATTTCGTTCAGTTTCTAAAGAATGTTCTAAAGAATAGCAAGTATGTTATTCAAATAAAACAATAGCTTTTGCATAGTATTTTTCAAAATCAAACAGGTCATAATTGGTAGCATCACAAATTCTTTTGCTCACATAGGCTACACCACCACAAGTTCAAGTGAGCTGGAAGGTTACCACTGGCTTTTTATCAGACCATTATAGTGGGACTGACAGGAAATTATTGTGAATAGAGGGGGATGATGGAATTGGGACACATTGCATGCAAGACTCAAACCTGTGTTCCTATAAGCACCACAATTGAACATGCTGGGGTCATATACTCTGCTGTCACATTAAATGTGATATGTAATTGTTACTTAGCACGTTCTATCTGCATACTGTAGTAGATCTACTGTTTTCACAGTCAGATTACAGCAGAATGAGTGCCTCTGACAAATGAGTTCTACAAATAGTGACATTATCCCTGGTACTAGTGAATGTTAATGTTTTTATAGAGCAGCTACAGTATTATATGGTTCTATGCATAATATAGTTAGCTATGGTTAGTGCACAGAAAATTATGTAATTATTTTGTAAGGGTGGTGATGTAGAGTCTTCTGATTTATGTTTGTGCATAACAGATTTTCTCCTTTCTTTGATTTATCTCATATTGCTCTTTCCAACTTGGTTGTGGTTGACACACAGTCTGAGAGTAAACGCACTTGTCTTGTACTTTTGCTGGGTGTATATACATGTGTACTACTCCACCACACACCATAACATAGCAGCCATTTGATAGCAGCTGTCTCGATATCACCTGATATGGTGATAGTACTGTATATCTCACATGCAGCGGCCCAGAAAAGATCAAGTGTTTTGACCTCAGGAGCTTTGTGCTCCCCACACCCCTCTCCTGCTAGCACAGGGGCTTCCCTGTTTTCAGAGCGTCAACATTATGAGTACGTACAGTAAGTGTAAGCCTGTGATTTGCACAAGCCTATACACACTTTTCCTTTGTAAAGCCTGTGTGGTGTGAAAGCATACAATACCAGTCAGTAAGACTTTTTTTATTAAAAAAGGTTAATTTATTCAACAAGGACACACAGGTTTAAGACACAGCCTGATTTGGTGAGATCACTTATAGTTTTATGACAATTTCTGTTTATTTTTATGACATTTTCTGTCTCATCGACATGTGTAATATGGGCAGAAATAAGTTGTGCTCATTGTTGAACAGCTCCAGGATTAATCTGTTCTCTGTAAGTGGTACTGTTCTCAGTGGACCTTCACTAATGATATCTTTTTCCTTTCTCTCTTTTCTTTTTCTCTCCCCCTCAAGGTGGTGTTGGTCTTTGCACTCAGCATCGGAGCTCTGGGAATATACTTCATAGATTCTTCAGAGTGAGTACTATTTTGATTTAACAACTCTCGCCTGAATTATTTATGAGTCAAAAGCCTTAAACACAGATATTAAATAATGTGTTCTTCTTAGAAATAAGTAATTTCCTTTGCCTCATTTCACTAAAGGAACTGTTCATGAATGGGAGTCAAAATTGAACAAAGGGATGGTTAACCCTCTGAAAATGATTTTGTACACCTCAAGAGGCCAAATACATTTTAAATGTGAAATCTTTCAGTTGATACTAGTATATGTAAGGTTTGCAATTTATTCTTATTAATAAAATGTGATACTTTGAAAGTGTGTAATGTAATGTAAAATATGTAAATGTAATGTAAAATAATACATGTAAAGTTAATCAAACATAAAGTAAAACAATATGTTACAATCTGTAACTCTTGCAGATTTAGCTTTGGCTTTAATAAAGCAAGATATCAGTTGGAGGGAACAAATGTTGATTTGTAAACAAAAATTTCCCAAACATTAAATAAGTTGTTTTAATTTAGTTTCTTACAAAAATGTTGATAAGCAGGTCGAACTGTTGAGCTTGAAGAATGCAGTAAATACTACAATTTGTTTTAAAATTGATACACCTGCAGGTCATGATTTCTGATTCGCAGATGGTAGCAGGCAGGGCCGATCCTGACCTCCCTGGGGCCCTAAGCAAAATTCTGTTAAGGGGCCCTCCTACCTAACCCATGAGCCATGTAAACCATTTGCCATTGCCACACAGTCACACCTGACACCCCAGTGCCCCAGAAATAGACATTGTTACTAGAAAAAGTACATTCTTAATATCAAGAATTCACATTTTAAATAGTACAAATTTATTAGTGAAAATGCATCCTGTGAATGAATAAAAGCTAAAATGGCTTGCCATTGCATGTAACTGTGTTTTAAATGATAAAAGCAATACTTGATGGTTACTAAGGGATGTGCATCCATATTGACCAGTATGTACAGCCAATCAACATTTTAAATGCAATATAGCCTATAAATCAATAGTCAATATCAATACATTGCTTTCCATCTTGCTTTATTGCAGAGTTGTAACTAAACTGACTTGGAGACTAGATAATCATTGTCTTGTTTTAAAAGTATGTGCACCTTTAATGAGGACTGCCATCACGCCCATATTGTACTGGTCCTCACAGATGTTTTGCTGGAAAGTGTGTGTTTCATTTCGTGCACGCGCATATGAACGCATTTTAACGCGCAACGCGGTTATCTTTCCGAGCTGCAGTTTATAAACAAACAACGCCCTTTGTCGTTTATCAAACGTAATAAATAGTTGTATTTCACTCTCACTTTTTGTCAGGCACAGAACAGCCCTGGAAGTGGCCGGCATTAGCAAGCAAGACACAGAAAGACCAAAAGATGCACTGCTGCTAGGTTAGACAGACAGACAGACAGACTAGAGAGAGATGTACATCAACTTAACTTTACTGTTCTTTGCTGACATCAAACTTGGTGAGGAGAGAACACAAGTCTACCTGATTGCTGTTCCCGCAATTCACTCTCATGGTGTTTTTTTACTCTTTTTCGTGACTAGAAGGATAGTTCTGCTTAATTTTCCCATCGATGTTGTAAACTTTGATTGACACGCTTTGACACAAGGGGGAGGCGGGGCCTTGAGTAATTTGCGGGGCCCTACGCAACTTGCGTAGTGTGTGTATATAGGGCTGATCGGCTCTGGTAGCAGGGCACACTATAATGTTAAGGTACTATTTTCCCATATAGATAATAATACGATATTAATGAACTCTACATTCATTGGTACTGTTAAGGGTACCATTATATAATTCAGGGTTTTGTTTTCTTTCCTCTGTAATGTTGGAGTTTAAAGACTCAGTGTGGTGGGATTATTTTGTCAATGAAAGCTAAGCAGGCCAGTTTCCATGGTTACATTAGCAGAGCATCTCTGCCACCCACCCTTCTCCACTATGCTCCCTAGAGAAAGGTGTGCTGTTAGCTGTTGCCCAGGCAACCAGGTATCATAGTTTTCATTTTCATCTTTGCTCAAAGTACTTACAAATGTACCGACCAATATGCATACATTTACATCAGTAGTTGTATAATAAATGAAACAGAATCGATATGAATATATCAGTCAATGTGATGTCAGAGATACAGACTGCTGTATTGACATGATGCGGCATTTAAAAAGCCAACACGTGCCGTTTAAATCTTAGCTAGGCACTCAAATGAGCATGTGTACGTCTCATATGTAAGTCGCTTTGGATAAAAGCGTCTGCTAAATGAATTAATGTAAATGTGTATGGTCTTGTGTGCCTAGACTGACTGTCACAGCATGCTGAGGCATGATGGGAGTTTTTAATCCCTATAATGCACGGATCAGGGTGGTAAAGGACGCGGAGGGATGGGCAAGCCACTGTGTTTATGCATCATTCAGAAAAACCTTGATCTGGCTCGTCTTTTACAATGCATGTTTTCACATTACAGCTTAGAGTCAGCAGCTTCCTCATTTGAGTGCATATGTGAGACAGATGATGAACAGATTTAGATGAGGTGAATTCAGGATTCCTGCAGGATTCTGTTTTTACATTTTTTTTTGCAAACCCTCATAGTTTTGTTGGGCCTCATTGTTAGCTAAACAATATACAATGCAAAAATTTTTTTATTAAAAATTATTTACTGTTGCAAATATATTGTTTTAACGGCACGTTTTAATACAAATAGATAGTTTAACAATACTTACAAAGCCTTTTTTTTATTTTTATTGTTGGACATGACAGATAGGAATCTCTTGCTGCCCACTAATTTAGTCCGTGTACGTGGCCGGCGCGTGCCTTTAGGCCAGTGGTTCTCAACCTTCTCCTGCAACAGGACATGTTTTTGTTTTCACCCTGAAATGGCACACCTGATTCAATTAGTCAGCTACACATTAAGCCTTTGACCCTTTAATTAATTGAATCAGGTGTGCCATTTGAGGGTTAAAACAAAAATATGGCCTGTCAGGGGGTCCCTGGAGAAGAAGTTGAGAACCATGCTTTAGGCGAACGAGATTTATTTTTTCATTTAAAGGTGCTCTAAGCGATGTCACGTGTTTTTTAGGCCAAAACATTTTCAGTCACATACAGCAAACATCTCCTCACTATCCGCTAGCTGCCTGTCCCCCGAACACATTGTAAAAAAATCGCGGTCTCTGTAGACACCCCAGGCTCCACAAACGGCAACAAAAACAAACTGGGCCAACCCGCACCACGAAACATAACAACTGTTCCAGCCAATAACCGACAAGAATGATTTGGGGGTGGGGTTTGGGGGTTAGTGCGCAGATGAGGAGGAGGGTCTAGCTAGCCTCCGTTTTGTTTGACAATACTTCAAAACGTCAACAAGAAGTGACGTCAGTCACGTCACACAACATCACTTAGCGCACCCCAGTCGCTTTCTAGTCGAAATTTCAGGACTTCAGTCGACCAAAATTTTCTTTGGTTGATTACAGCCCTAGTAATATTTATATATGCCATTTATTAATGTTTAGAATATTTAGAACCACTACGAAGAGCTGTGCATGCACAAGTGACGGGATTTCGGGTGTACGAGCACCGCTTGCACACGCTTTGCTTGCTTGGCTTTCATTGGGTGGAAATAATTAATATATTTGAATCTTTGATATCATGCTGCTGCTTGCCTGGTTGAGGACTACTGCTCTATACTGTTTTGTGAATTGGTGGTTCTTCAGTTTGGTAAACTGACTGACAGCCCAGTCTAAGCTGTCCTATCACATCTATTGTCCGTGGTCTCAGTCAGGGTTTTTTTGCAGACACACGATGTCCTGAATTCACTAGCATTGCAGTGTGGGTGGATTCCAGATCAAAGAGCCAAACCGAGTGATCTAGATCTGTTATTGGACTGCAGTTGTTGTCAGATTGGACATCTCTAATCATTTCTGTAGGGAGGCTGAATAGTGCTACATGAATGATAGTCATATAGACACTTTAGGCTCTGTTAAAATTACGACAGAGAGTGCTGTGACACCTCAAACAAGTGCGGTGGTTTACCCACGACTGAGCAGTTGAGTGATAGAAGTGCTTACCTGGAAGGATGTTTTCTGGTCTTCAACCTTTATCTAGGCCTTTTCAGAACCTCTTGGTAGAGACTGAAGATGGAAGATGCTTGTTGCATTTAAAGGTTTTATAATATATTTACATATACCTATTTAATCACTTTGCAATTCTATTTAAATATATTCACCATCACAATATATACACAAAGGTAAGGTAAGGTAAGGGTAAGATTTCTTTTAATGTTTCTTATGCTCACCAAGGCTTCATTTATTTGATTAAATATATTGTAAAACAGCAATACTGAGAAATGTTATTAGAAATTAAAATATTTTAAAATGTTACGTATTCCTGTAATGCTGAATTTTCAGCAGCCGTTATTCCAGTCTTCAGTGTCACATGATCCTTCAGAAATCATTGTAACTTCAGATTTGGTTGAAGTTAAAGGAATGTTTGAGAAAGTCAGTGGAAGTCAGGAAGTCATGAAAGTCAGTGGAGTCCAGTGTTATTTTGGACCCCAATTACTTTCATTATATGGACAAATACAGTTAAAATATTCTTCAAAATGTTATTTTATGTTCCACTGAAGAAAGAAAGTCATACAGGTTTAAAATGACATGACAGTGAGTAAATGTTCATTTTCATATATTTATATATTTTCATATCGATTTCATATATTAATACCCGATACCCCAGTTGAAGATCGCATAGATAGAAGACTTGAACTTGTTGATGTGTGTGTGCATGCATGCGTTTTGTTGGTTGCCTGTGTCTTTCCCACCCGGTTCAGTTCCAGATCAGGTTGTGACAGCAGGAGTGTGTGCTGTGATGTGCTCTTAATGATCTACATCACGTTTGGCTCTAGAGTTACCGCCTGAAGTCCTGGCAGCTGAAACCTCCACTGCTGCTGTCCTCACCAGAGAGAGATGTGTGCAACCGATGTGCCGGTTCTCGCCCTCTGAGCTTCTCATTTG